GTGTGTGTGTGTGTGTGTGTGTGTGTGTGTGTGTTTGTGGGAGTCTAGGTGATAATGCCTTCTTTCTGCTTCCTTCTTGTTGCAGCCTGTTCAATTACAGAATATTAAGAATGCTAAAGTGAAAATGGAGTGAAGTTTGCGTGTCTTTTCTGCGTACAGTCAGGTGAGCTGTCCGTACTCGGAGATGAACCTGAACAAGGAGGGTTTGGTGCCCGACCGTCTCAGCGGGGAGCGACCTCTTGTCCTCAGCGGGCTTCAGCCACGGGGGCGACGGCCCGACCCTCACACAAACGCCACGCCGCAGACCATCTCTGCGCCGACGCAGCCCGAAGGAGCCGTGGATTCCCAGAGCAGGTTTGCTCCTAAGCACACTGCAGGCCATGTTTCCACTAACCCACAAAACAGACTTTAAATGCTCAACATTCATATTTAGACTTTTGTGTTCGACCTAATGAATGGGAAATTCCCACACCTTTTTTAACCTCACCTACTCAGTGCTTTACATGGTTTCTCCCCCTTTCACACAAGCATCTATACAGCACTTTCTATTATATATTTATGAAGGACTTGTTCCTAAAAGACTATCTGTGTTGCTAGGAAACCAGTGACAGTGGAAGCCGAGCACCCAGGATGCAACAACCTGTCGGAACCACTGGGTGGAGCCAATGAGCAAAGCCAAAATGGAACCAGGCCTAAACGGTACCATCCACTGTTACACTGAGCTCAGGATGATGTTTCATATCAGGAGATAAAAATTCTAAAACTTGTTGTTTTTCTCCAGGATGGCTCCAGCACCCAAATACTTAAAAATGCACTATGTGAAGGAGGAGATTAGCGATGGTAAATGTGAGTAGCTCAGTGTGACATAGTTGCACAAAGCACGTACGTCACTTCTGTCCCGCCTCACCCTCTGCCGTTCTCCTTCTCCTCAGCTTCTCCAGAAACCATCTCTCTCCAGCAGGCCCTCCACGAGTCAGTGTTCTCCCCTGGCATCTCCGCCTCTCCTCCTCACAGAGTGGCTCTGTGCTGGGACAAACACTGCCAGCTGCTGCCCGAGGTCCTGGGGCTGACTGCCAAGAGAGTGGCCACTTGGAGTGCCGAAGAGGTCTGACATGCTCACACATGTGTCAGCACATGAAAAACAGACACGCTCCTCATTCACTCTTTCACTCACACAACAGGAGGAGCAGTTCTTCAAAACAAACTGCATGAATTAACCAAGTAGCTCTGCTCTGGTCAACATCATTTAAATGTATCAATATGTTGCTCAGCTGAATGCTCTTTTATTTATATTTTTATTCAGATTGTTTTTTCTATTTATTCATCAGGTGGCTGGTTTTGTCAAAGGACTCCCAGGATGTAAAGAGCACGCTGCTACGTTTAAAACAGAGGTCAGCACACCGTCACAAGTAGCTGCTAATACCTTGTTATTGTTAACATATATTATTTGTAGCTTTTGGCCAACATTTATTTAAAAAACAACTGTAAAGCCATGCTCTTTCTTCTGTGTAATATTACTCATCATTTAAGTGTCAATTAGTAAACAATGGGAGCAATCAGAGTAATTTTCCTGATGGTTTAGAATTTCCTGATGGTTTAGAACGTCAGACCTGAGCATGAACGCTCTTCTCAGTTGATTGCTTGTTAATCTAGTACGTGAGGTAGAACTTGCAGTTAGGCCTGCCCCGACAAGCAATTAATCGCACAATAAATTAAAAAGAAGGTGATCATTTTCATTTGCCTGCTTGTTTAATTTTTTTTGTGTCTCCCAATTTTCTACTTCTTAGCATAGGGAGGAGTGAACGCTCAGGCTCATGGTCTTGTAACCTCTGTTGCTTGAGAGCCCCGTGAACAGGCATTTAGCAAGAGGAGAATCTTCGGTTTTCTGAACACTTCTTTCAGCTTTTCTTTTTATTTATTTTTTTTAACATATGTGAATTTCAAGCTAACTTCCGTAAGCTTTGTAAGCTGAGAGTGGGGGTGGGGGGAACCTTTATATTAGTTTAAAATTGTCTCCAAACAATATTATCATTTATCGCATTAATATCTGAGACAATTTATCGTCCAGCAAAATTTGATATACTGACAGGCCTAATCGCAGTAGTACGTTCAATTACAGATGGGCTCAGTTTATATAATTGCAGCTTTGTGTTTTTTGTCTTCCAGCTTTATGTTAGCTGTATGTCATTTCATACAGTTTCATAAGTTTTAATGATGTTTAGAAAGGAGAAATTAGAACTGTAGTGCTAATCCAAAAATCCACATGCATGATCAGACTTTAAAATCCTGTTAAATGTTTTGAAAACCTTACGTATGCTTCACATTCAACATAAACTGCTGGTAAAAACAACTGCATCCTGTACAGCCAATTGTATAGCTGTATTTTAAATACCAAAACTGGAATGTACGAAAAACCTTCTGATTTCTGTTTAGCAAATAGATGGTGAGGCTTTCCTTCTGCTCACCCAAGCAGACATCGTTAAGATCCTGTCAATCAAGTTAGGACCAGCTTTGAAGATCTACAACTCCATCCTCATGCTGAAGAATGCGGACGAAGAGTGAAAAAAAAAAAGAAGAGAGAGAGACATACCAGACTCCACGAGACTCAGGAGGGACGACTGAAGATTTCTGACTCAGCCTTTATTCTGTTTTGGACCTTTTGGTAAAATCAACCAGAACAAGTTTAATCAAGAAAAAGAGATATAAAATTATAACATCCCATATGTCCTCCCTCTCCTCTCCTAATCAACCCGAGGAGAAGCTTTTGATGAAGACACGAAGATTTCAAAATTTATGTTTGTTTACTAAAATATTTTTTAAAAACACTACAGGCACCTAAAGGCTTCCTGACATTTTACAGTGTACTAATTGGATTTGAAGAAATGCTGCTTTAGCCCTGAGCAGATAGAACAAGCATTCTTTTGTTACTGTTTAGCTGGGATTATTAGACTTTTTGAGTTTTTTCTTTTAAATAAAGCTGCAAAATACAATCGTGAGGTGATGAGAGGTTTTGAAAATGTGAAACTTGATGCAGTTCAGCTGCTGGGAGATAAAAACATGATTTAATGTAGAGTTGGAGTCTAAGACTCAACAAAGATGCTAAAAGCAGAGCTTGAAAAAAAATGGGGACATGTTTTTCCTGCCGTCCGATGTGTGTTGCTTTTTCTGGTTGGAGGATTGCTTTGGGCCAAGGGCTAAATCAAGAATACTTGCTGTCTTAAGATTGAAAAAAAAGACAATGGACTAGCTTTTTTGTTTTTCTTAATAACAACCAATGAATATGAATGTTAAAACAACTTAAAGTTGTTCTGTTTATATCCATCTTATTCTCTTGTTTTTTACAGTGTAAATAGTATACAGCTACAAAAGGAGTGCAGCTCCTGACCTGTTTACCATTTGCTTAGTTATGCAAAGACTCAATTATCTGTCTGTACACAAAGGACGGTGTGGCAGTGGACTGGTACAACTAAATTAATTTTTAATAGTGAAAGGGAGGAGCTGGACAACTTTTATTTGTGGGTTTTTTTCTGTTTGTAAATATCTTTGTTCTGCAGCAAGTCTGAATGTGTACATCAGTAACTGTTTATATGCAAACAGCTTTAATTTATGTATTGTAAATTATGGGGTGGCGACAACGGTTTGCCTTTCTCTGGCTCAGAGGTAGCTGTGGCTGTTTGATGGGACTGTGAAAATAAACGAGGCGCACACCGCCCGCCTGCTTTCTGTATTTAACCCCTGTTCATTTCTGACGTGTACAAATAAAAAAACGCGCAGATCACCTAAAATCTAACTTTTTCTGATCTTTGTCTACCAGCAGCAACAGTTTCCTCACTTTCCTGAGTTTAATGTATGAAACACCAAGTACCACCAAGTAATTCAGTACATTTATTTGTAGTATATTTGTATTTTAAAAACAATGTACTGCAAATAGTGTAAATACTCAAGAACCTAACACAGGATCAATAGGTTAGTTGATCAGAAAAGCAGTTCACGACTCAGGAGTGGACAGAGACTGAAGATTTTGCTGTTTTTATTAGTGCCATATAATTATTGTGCAAAAGAATTTATAGTTTTATTTAACTGTCAACAAGGTGTTTTGAATAGCCATTCAGAAATAAAGTGCACATAAGTTCAAAACTAGAGAATTAAATTTTTCTGTGTGAAAACTGAAAGATTTTTTGCAGAAAAAAAATTAATGTACAAAAATTGTGCAATTGTGTAAAAGAGCTGAAAATAGCAGAAACGTAGCTAAAAAGAAGCTCAAAGAGATGAATCTAGCAGAAAGAGAGTAGCCGGCATGTTCTGAAGGAGCTGAACATTTTGATATAAGAACTGTTGAAATAGTACAAAAATTATGGAACAAGATCTATGTCAAAAAATGTACAGCAGAGAACTGGATCATCTTATTGGGGGGGGGGGGACTACATAACGGCTACACTTTAGATGGAATTAATGTTGAATTTAATCATTGTTTTAATGGTTTTGAATCAACTACTTTTATCCTGATGCATTCTCAACAATCCAGGTAGAAAAATGGGACAAGGTTGAGCGAACTCCTCTGAACAAGTTCTTTGTGTAAAAAAGTTTGCAACTCCTAAATTCTTTTGGATAAAAGACAAAATATTTCAACGAAAAATAACCCGTTCAGAGGACACTGAAGTTTTCCAAACTTTTACAGTTTGACAGATGGCAAAACATTTGCTGCATTATATTGATCCAAACTGACTTCCCTCCATATCGAGCTTCTAAAGTATTGTTTAAAATGTTACTATTTAGAGCTGTAAAACAAAACTTACCTGAAAGGATGTCACCGACCCATTTAACTGAGTAAATGTGACTCTAATTCTCTGTAAATGGTCTCCGTGCAGCTGGGTTTCAGTTTCCCCCCTAAAACCTAGAACCGCAGTGTGTCGCCCAGATGTGGCCCACATGCAGGGTCGCTCGCCCTCAAACCAGGTTTCTGTGTGGCCTACATCTGGTCCTTAAACGCAACAAGCTGAAACGTGCAAAACTACCTGGCTCTGTAAACAAAACAAAACATTTAAAGTTCTTAAACAAATAGCCTGATGGTGTGTGTGTCATGTATTTATTGGTCCAACATCTGGCCCATGTGACATTTGTTGGCCCACATCTGACTTGTATGAGTGATAAAACTAACACAGGTTTGACGTGAAATGCACTGTCTCAACCTGAAGAGATGCACAATTTAGATTTTTTTACTCTGTAATCATCAGGAGGAACTTTAATTTGTTTTTAAACAAGCGACCAAAGTTATATTCTTGTTTTTTGATATGTTTGCTTCTCGCTTGTGGAGCTTTTCACAATTCAAAGTGAAAAGTGCAGAATTCTGGATTTTAGGACTGTAGTGAGTGGCTCCAACGTAAATCACTCCTATCTCTTCTAAGAGGTGTTTGCTGGCCTGAAAAACAGCTCTCACGAGGACCAGGCAGTGCCACCAGATC